ACACACACACACACACACACACACACACACACACACACACACACACACACGAGGTGGGGAGGAAGACAGGAAGGGAGGGAGGGCAGAAGGGAGGAAGGGAGAGAGAAATGAATGGAGCAGGCATGAATGGACTGCACATGCTCATCACATCCCAGGTTCTGTGCTAAATTTGACACAATTCTCAGTTTCCTTCAGAACAACACTGGGAAGTAGGCTCCAGAGATATTTTCTTATATGGAAGAAAAACACAATGAGAGAGGTGACAGCGGTCTCAAAGCACACTCCCAGAAGTAGTGGTCAACTCAACACATCCTCAGCCACCATGGAGGTTGTGACTTGGTGAAATCTGTCCCAACAGATGATGGGACAGATCCCAATTCATGGCTCAGATTCCTCACTTAGGGTCATAATTTGGATAAACAGATGACCTTGAGAAGACATTGACTCTGAAGCTGCTGTCCTTGACCCCTTTGCAAGGACTGGGTTAAGGAGCTAAGGACTACATGTAGATGGCAGAGTTTGGATCCCCAGAGATTGTGTCAAATAGGATCATCCTTTCCAAGGAGCAAGAACTCAAAGTAGTAGTAGTAGTAGTAGTAGTAGTAGTAGTAGCAGCAGCAGCAGCAGCAGCAGCAGCAGCAACCAGAAAACACAACCCAGCAGCGCCACCATCGGCAGCTGGAGGAATTCCCCTCCCACTTCAGAACTCCATTCACTTAAAGTGAGGTCTTTGGCTACTGTGCTGTGGAAAGAATGTCATGATGAATCAGAATGGAGCAGAGTTAGTGACTATTAAGTGTTTAAACAGAGTCATAGAGGTAAAGGAAGGTACACATCCTAAGTCAAGGGTGTAGGCGTCTCGAGAGAAAGTCACATTTCCTATCTTCACAGTGCCTGTGTATATGAACCTGCAACTTTCTAAGTTTGGTTCCTCAAACGATGTAATTTACAAGATTAAAGATTAAAGAAAACATAAAATTTAAGTAAAGTTTGAAAGTTAAATAAACATGTATGAGCTGATTTCTCTCTCTCTCTCTCTCTCTCTCTCTCTCTCTCTCTCTCTCTCTCTGTATGTGTGTGTGTGTTTGTGTGTGTGTGTGTGTGCGCCTAAGCATGCATAAGACTGTGGAGGTCAGAGTATGTCAGGTGCCCTTCCTCGGGTACTATTCCAATGTCTATTGTTTTTTAATTTTTCCCCTTAAAATAAAGTGCCCCATTTGCTAGAGCAGGCTGAGTGACAAGCAAGCCTCAGACATCTGCCTGTCTCTACCTCTGCTGAGATAATAAACTGTGTTTGTTTCTGCTCTTGATTTTTTTTCATTTGTTTGTTTGTTTGTTTTGAGACAGGGTTTTTCTTTGTAGCTTTGGAGCCTGTCCTGGAACTCACTCTGTAGACCAGTCTGACCTCAAACTCACAGATATCCGCCTGCCTCTGCCTCCCAAGTGCTGGGATTAAAGGTGTGCAGCACCACCGCCCAGTTTATTTCTTTTTTAAAAAATGGGTTCCTGGGATAAAAAAAAAACATGAAGCAAGCACTTTACAAGTTGAAATATCTCCCCAGCCCAATTTATTTTTCTTTCCTTAAAAAAATTATTTTAAATAAAATATAAGCCGCTTTTATTATTTAGAGTTAGCGATGAGGGAGGAGTACCATAACACTAAAACTCAAAGCTACAAAGAGGCTGGCCCTGGGTGGGCATAGCTCGCTGTTGGCGATGTCCTTAGGAGAAGGAGCAGTCTGGGCTTTGTAGCCTGTGTTGCAGTTACTTGGCTATCAGCCAGAAAAGAAACTTGATCCCAGGGTGAAGGGCTTCTTTTCCCTCTTAGGTCCTCTTCATCTTCCATCTTTCTTTTCGGCCTCAGAAAAAATAGACCAGTGCTTCTCAACCTTCCTAATGCTGGGACCCTTTAATACAGTTTCTCATGTTGTGTGACCCCCAGTCATAAAATTATTTTATTGCTACTTACTTCATAACTGTAATTTGGCTACTTGTATGAATTGTAATGTAATATCTGATATGCAGGATATCTGATTTGTGACCCTCAAAGGGGTTTCGACCCACAGGCTGAGAACTGCTGGAATAGACAAAGGAAACAGCAAAAGGTCAAGAGGCACTGGGCGGTGGTGGCACACGCCTTTAATCCCAACACTCGGAAGGGAGAGGCAGGTGGATCTCTGTGAGTTCGAGGCCAGGCTGGTCTACAGAGCGAGTTCCAGGACAGGCACCAAAACTACACAGAGAAATCCTGTCTCGAAAAACAAAAAAAA